ATGAAAATGAAGGTCTCTAAACCTTTACGGGGCTACTTCTGTGAAATTTTTTGCCAAATGTAAAGTTCATTATTTAATCTAACATTTTTAGAAAAACTGAAAACTAATCTTACATCACGCTCGAGCTAGCGAGAAAAATAATGTTTCTAATAAAAGATAGTAACAAGCCACCAAGGTTTCACTAGGAAACATTCATAATTTATTGATTGGGATATGGGCCTATGGAGATTTGGAAGACAAGCCATTTTCTCGTGTAGTAATTTGGGGGAAAGGGGCGGGAGGAGCTGCTGAAAAACGAAATTGAGGCCAGAGACTTAAAGCTTGGTTCTCACATCCCGCCGACCCACCTGCGAGGTAGTCGCCGGTTGCAATTGACAACGTTCGGCGATCTGTTCCAGTGTGTCCCCGGCGCATCTGCGATGGATCGCTGACGTACTCGAATTGGTGCGAAATGCTAATCGAATTGGCGCGCGCAATTTTCAACCATTCCAGCAGTAAATATGGATCGAATCGTCTTACTGAAGTACGTTGCGTCCGCAGATGATGTTCACATAAAATATTTTCATCGCCGACAATCGCCGACAATCTCCGGTTTGCTGCGAAGTTGAACTCAGCTCAACTTCACTGGCAAGCCGCAGGCCAATGCCTGGGACAGATTATGATTCGGCGATAAATATTCACATATGCCGTAACGACATCCCAGGACTTGCCCCAGGTGTGCCGGCAGCATATGAGAACCAGGCTTTAGAAAGGATGGGGGGGAGGGGGGGAGGGGGTGGCATAAAGAAATATGAGATAATTCTGGCTGGGAAGCACTCACCCAGTGGTATAAGAGCTCTTAGAGCCTTACCGTAAGTTCCCACATTCCAATGGACTTGATCGGTAGATCTCAAGATTCAGGATCAAGGACTTTTTAAATTCTCATTAAGCGTCTAACAGCCATGTCCATAAAGTGTTTGGTCGCTAACTAAGTAGTGAGTTGTCCCAAACTTACTTATAGGCCAGGTCAGGTCTAAGGTCCTTGTATTACTGTATGAGTACTTCAAATAGGCCGGGAGAACGTGACTGTAACACTATAGCTCTCGCCCGAAAACCCTCTTTCAGGTGTTTTTTTTTTTTTTTTTTTTGCTGCCTGACGTTAGCCGAGGAGCTGTTATTTCATCGGCTTGCGGCCAGATTTTCATGGTATAACTCGAAGGCATGTACATGACGTGTTTATAAATCTTTAGAGGACAAAAACTCGAATTCGTTTTTCGATAGTATCCCTCCTCTTTAAATGAATAAATAGGGTATGAAGAAAGGAAATTTGACCAGAACGTCCAGAACATTCACTGATAAATAAGGAACACAAGTATGTCGTGGAAAATGATTTTAACGAATTGTACGTATACGTTTCATAACCTTTCTCATGATTAGATTGATACACAAATAATATTAATGATCTGATGATCGCTTCAAGTGTGAAACTCGAGTAACTATAGTTTGTATCCTAATTTGTATTAGATTGATATATAATTTGTAAAAAACATTTCGAGCTACTATTAGGAAGTTATCCTCTCAAGCTTAAATGATCTCTACCAATTAACCGAAATGACGAAATTGACCAATCAGTGACTTCTGTTTAGAAGTTGTATCCAAACTGTGTTTTGTGTTGATCTAAGATGCTTATTACTTAGGACTAGAGTAGTAATTGCGGGCATTTCATACATGTGATGCACCGGATTCTAATGTTTAGAGGAGTCTGGGTTCAATGGTGGCTAAGATTTTAAATCTCTTCCTTACCGACTGCCTCTCAGGCAAATTCAGAAATCTGTCTGAATGCTGGAGTTCCTGGAGGGTTACAAGTCGATGGATTAGTTTCTACAAAAAGGGGTTAAGCCTTCATT